CAATAGACTTACCTCCACGTGGTGCACCCTGGGCAACGTATACTTATACGGCAAAAAGGTCTATTGATCGGCAGTTGACTTCTGACTTCAAACTACTATGTTCCGACTATTTGTCATATTCGACGCCTTTCATAGTACTCATCTTACCCATTTTATGCCTTTGTGTCTGTCTGTCTGTCTCTTTTACATCTGTGAATCAATCTTCTGTTCCCCCTCTCGACTTTTTGTCACTTTGATGTTCCTTCTCCTCTCTGTGAAGCCCCGAAGTCAGTTCCAGGGCTAGTGATAACTATCAAAACGCCTGCCATTTGATATAAATAAATAAATTTACAATGAATCATCTACCACCATATTTGTTGATATCATTTCGTAGTGAAAGTAACATGCCAATCTTGATTTCAATAAAGTATAGGTCAATTGAAAAGTGGTTTCAAAACTTCGACGCACGATACTCATGAACTGAGAATTCACCGGACCAACATCCGCTGACACTAATGTCAATTTGAAACAGCTTTGAATAAAATAGAGAAAGGTTCAAATTGGGAGTCATTTTGTATGAAGCCAAAATGGACTTTTATTTAATTCCCAAAATTAAGCCCTATTACTCCACACTTATAATTTACAGAGAGGCAATACAGCCTTCCATTCTCGATTATATTGGTTTTTAAGTTGCAGACAGGATTATCTTATAATGATATACGACTGTGCTTAAGTTTATTATGTATTTAACGAAGGTTTCACTTTGTTATGCCTTAAAAGATTGGGATGTTGATTTAATTTTCGCTTCACCATAAGGATATACCGCTGTAAAACCATAAATACCTCGAGTTTTAATGAGTTATTTCATTTGTTGCGATTTAGTGAGGGATGGGGAAAGTTGGCCATAATCATTCAAGACCGCAAATGGTCAAATGTTTAATTTACAAAAAGTGCGATCAAAAGTGGGTGACTCAAACAGGAATGCAATAAAATTACCTCTTTCCTCATTGTCTAACGCCTTGGAACAGGGCATTTGTATTTACCTGTCTTAGAGCGTTCAATGATTGGTCAGCTCCTAAATCAGGCTGACCAATGGGATTGGGTGCAGGTATTTGGCTGCCAGTGAACTAACCCTAAGCTGCTGTATGGATGGTCTGTTCGATTATGTCTTCTTTTCCTCACTGCCAAATCTTGCCTACAGATGCAACTGCCTTAATTTTAGACCAAATCCGATAAGAATTCTCGCCATATTATCTCATAGCATTTTATTAAACGGAAATATTATAATTATTTGGTAAGTCAAAGATATATATTTTCTGTTTTTCGTAAACGTGTTGTTTAAAATTCCTTTTTTATTTAATTTATTAAAATTTTACAAAACTTTTTTTACAACTAACTTAGTTTTTTGCTGGAATTGCTTTGAGTAAAATATTTTTTAACATTATAATTGCTTTAAATGGAAAGTGTTAAGGTTGCTTATGGTAACAGCAAACAATGAAATATAATAAAATTCGTTTTATCAAAAATTTGATCTGTTTTAAATCGTCTGAGAGAAATAAATCCACCTTTGCTGCGTTAAAATCCTTTTCCACTTTATTACCACGACCGTGGACTCTCAGAGCAGCAACTAAAATCAACATTATATGGTCATTTTTATCGCAGATTGAGAATAATTAATTGCTTTTTTCTCAATTAACCGCTAATCCCTTACGAAGACTAAGTTTAGGTCCAATTTCTGTTTTTGTGTAAGATATTACCCTCAAAAGTTTGGCAACCCAAATCACATTCACATTACTGTATCGCTAACATTCCTTCAAAGGTTCTTAGTGTGTATTTCATACCTAGCGACATAGAAGTCAAGATATATTTTGTTCATGCTACATATTACAAAAGTATGTCTTGGTTGATTTTCAGTAGTTATAAATCCTTGGCCTATTCTTCACACTCTTTGGCTTTAAAGGCATATATTCAGCTTCCATAATTAATTTCTGACGTAGTATTAGCAGCTCTGGCTTAGAAGAGGAATCTAAATTAGCACCCCTAAGCGGAACTAAACTTGAATCAAATGACAGAGAGGATACTACAGATAGTGGTACGCAAAAACTAGAATTCTTAGGCCAAATCATTGGCAATGCAAAAAATTGGTAAACGCGTTAAAGTCTAATAGATCATGTGAACAAAGATTGACCCAAAATTCATACAAGATTAGCAATGGTGCACAACGTAGATGCACACAGTGTAACCACTAACCATTTTTACCTTGCATAATTAATAAACAGTTTATTTAAGGATAAATTGAATAGGACTTTGGTTTATATTAAAGCCTGTTTATTAGCGAAATATCTACGTTATATGGCCTCTCTTTGTGATTAATTTGCCAAAATCGATTTTAAAATACTAGAATTGTGGAGTTCTAAATTTTACTTCTGTTCTGAAATGCTTTCACCGAAAGCAGTTTGTTAATTTTTTATCTTTATTTACGATTTTAGGAGTGCAAAATTAAAGGTTGTCTGAATTTATCAAAATAACCTGTTGTTTTCAATTTCCGTTTTTGGGGAAAAAGTACTCTAAAGTAGTCTTAAAATTGCCTTATTTCTTATACATTTTAAGGTAAGGTTTCGAAATATTTATTAAAATAAATCAATATTTCAACAAAAAAATTACAACTTTTAGGGCTCTATGGGCTTAAAATTGTTTTTAAGCTCATTTACCCTCACAATTATTGAAAGCAAATGCGAATTGACACGGCAGCCTCTTTTTAATTAAAAATTCCGGTCAGTATGCGTTGAAAATTGATGACAAAAGTTTGCCACAATTCAGCGGATGGATAATTAATGGAATTTTGGAGCGTAACTATTGTACAACGCTAGTGCTGAAATTAGTCGCTTTTATATCTTCACATTATTTTGCGTATCTTTTTGATTCCCTTATCTCTATCCTCTGGTTGCTCTCTGAGATTAAAAAGTGTGGAATTTCTTATATTACTGTGAATGGTGAAAATAATATTCCTTTTATAAATACCTTTTTAAAATAAGTCTCTCTATATAAAGTATTTCATTCCTTTGTTTAAGCTGTTCTTAGGGGTAAGATAATGGTTTTACGCATCAAATTGGCATGTTCAATCTTTTGAAAGCACTCTACTGACTATCTGGTTTCGAATCCTCTGGATTTGAATCCTGGTGTTTGGTAAAGGACTTTAAAGTGATTGGATCGGTCTTAAGATGCATTTAAATAGATCAAAAATAAATTATTTGCTTTTATCACCTAGTCCTATCTCTAATTCTCTACCAATTAGATTATTATTATTATATCAAATGGCAGGCGTTTGATGGTTATCATTAGCACTTTAGTTGACTTCAGGCTTCACAGAGGGAAGGAACATCAAAGAGAAAAAAAGTCGAGAGGGGTGGGAAGGGAAGAGAAGAGTGTTTCAAAGATGTAAAAGAGGCAGACACAAGGGTAGAAAAAAGGTGAGGTGGTTACTGTGGAAGTAGTCAAATATGACATATAGTGGGGTGATGGTAATTTGAAGTGAGAAGTCAACTGCCGGTTAATAGACTTTTTGCAGTATGAGTATACGTTGCCCAGAATGCACCACGTGGAGGTAAGTCTATCGCACACCCCTCCACCCCTTAGATAAATAATTGCTTGTTTTGTTCTCAGTAAAATAACTTTCACGATTGAATTTCGTATATTCCATATTGCCTTTATTGTTAACTAACTTAGCCTTGTCCAAAGATATCTAACAACAATTTATATTCATTTCAATTCCAACTTCGTACACTAAACTGAAATCAATTTAGAAATTTCTCATTACAACCATATTAGCCAATGGAAAACAAGTTTTAAGTGGACATCAGTTAAGAATGTATTCTAAGGTGGTTTAAGATGCAATTGATTAGGATTAATGTCCACTAACCTTCTACGAGACAAATTAAGGCACACGAAAATTATTATTTTCCCATCAAATTAAATGTTTTACAATCGACTCCTTTTAAGGCGTAAAGATTAATTTAAAGTTTATTGTGTTCTTTAGTTGATCTTAAAAGAAAACGAACAGCAACAGGTTTCTCGAATATTGGATCCAATTACGCAAACTAAGAGACCATAGTAATAATGTTGGATAGTTTCACGGTCACATCCCCGTGGTCGGATGGACGAAGTCTCATTGCAAGTTGGACATGGAGTTTGGATTCCGATCTGAAATTCTTTGAAAAGACTATCGTAAGCTTTTTAATATTTTTATTGATTAAAATAACGCCTCAAAGTTCCCGTTTATTGTTTACTTTTACATGTCTTTAATTGTGGTCACTGGGAGAGCCAATAAACAGTGATCCACATTAAAATTGTTCAGAGTGAAGAAGGAGATTGTTCAGTAGCAAATTAGGGAATCAGATTCTTTCAGGGTCATAATTTATTTTTGCAAATAGGAACGAGGTCCCATTTACCAAATTTGGAACTTGCTATCCGGTTGGTCGGTAATGCAGTTTAAATACATTGTTATGCGGCAAAAGGAAATATAGATATGATCCGGAGACGTATTACTTACAGAGATGTGTGGGGGGGAGGTGGAACAGAAGATCGAACTCAGTGGAAAATCGCTGTATTCATAACTACCATTTTATAATTCCCCTCGGCATTTTTTTATATCAAACATAGTCATTTTTACTAGATATCATCAGATAAAATAGCGCACATTCTTGCTATAAACAATGGGAAATTTTGCCCGAAAATTCGACAATTTCATTGTCTAATATCGAGTGACCTCCTTAAAATAATACTGTTTAATTGAATTACTTTTGTTAATTTTACGTAGTGCGGTGGCTTTAGCTGAATTCAAAAAAAAATAACTATTCGAATTAATTATGTGCGAAGTTCACCAATTCCCGTTCAAAACGCCGAATTAATCTCATTACACCAATTGAATCTGCCGACAAGTTCGACACATACTGGAGCGATTAATTTACTTAACTGAATTTAAATTTGATCAAAAAATTTATCACCAAAGTTTCTCCAACACTACTATTTATGGATGTAGTTTTAGTAATTCTATTAGTGTGTAAATCTGATTATTTAATTGCTGGAAAGAAATATAAAAAATCTGTGCTTTATGGCGGATCCATTTGTCTTCTCAATCTTCTGTGTAATAAATTGATTGAAATGTGAGGGCTATTAACATAAATAAGTTGCACTGAATAAAGATAATCTCCCGCACCAATCAAGAGCATGAGTAATGAATTTTAAATATTGAGAGGTGAGATATCACCTAAGGGGGGGGGGAGGGGGTGTGAGGAGGGAACTTAATGCTAATAGAATTTAAAAATATCTTTTAATTAGGGCTCCTTAATGAATGAATTGATCACACAAGATTTTATTCCACTGTTCACACCCATTGGATTTGCTGTTAATCAACGTTATTTACACCGAGTAATTAAATATTCAATTTTTTGCCCTAGTGTCAACAACAATAAAAATAAAATTGTTGACAATAGTAATTAATGTGCTTGAAATGTTTTGCTTATTAGTAAAGTGGACAACTACTCATACTTGGATTGAATACTGGCATAAAACTCGGCATAATAGAAGATGAGAGAGTTGCTCTTATCATAAATGTAAGTAATAATCCATTTAGGGAGATCGAATCATAGCATTTTATTTATTTATTACCGCAAGAAAGATAATTTAACCTAGTGCAATATACTAGAATAAAGACAGAAGTTGAAATTGAACAGAAATGAGTAGTTAATACCAAGTTAGCTTGCATTTTGAAATTCTTGTTTGAATGGATGAATTTTTCCGGTTACCGTGGGCAAATAAACTAAAGAAAGACATTCTTAAGACATTCCCTATCACCACCTTTGTTTGAATGACATACTTTGCGTTGTTTATCTGGATATATTAAAACGCCCAAGTGTTCCCTTGAGGGCTAACGTAACTCAATTTTTTCAACACCCTTTGATCATATTTTATCCAAGGTACTAGGCGAACATATCTATAAGAAGTGAAATTTAACTCCACAATGGCTCATCAACACTCTATGAGTAGGAAGAAAGTGTGTTAATCTGATGGCAATTGGCTGGCTGTATGACTGTTTTCATAACCCTTTAACACAGACATGAAAATATTTCACTCCGTAATTTTCCATTTCCATTTATACAGCCGGATGTACACTGATTCATATTGACTTCGAGAACTTTGACTTGAGAGAAATGAAAATTTTGAAAACATTCGGTTAACTTTGCTTTCCCACAAGTTCATATATATACTATCCAGAAATGGCACTAACTCTGCCAATTTTCAGTAAGACTGCTTACAGCGAGCCCAAAGCGTCAATCGTCTTGGATCAAGGTTTCCATTACGCACATTTTAAAATTCTACGAACATAATCTCTGGGGAAAATTGTTCAACATTTTTGAAAGAGAAGAAAAGTTAGATCATAGATCTAGAACCCGAAAACCAAAACGGGTTCTTTCCCATCCATTAGATATCTAGCTTACTGTAATCATCATCCCACAATGAAAAAAAGTTATCTTGTGTTGAATAGGGTCGGACACAATGGAACAGATTAAAAGAGACTGAATGGACATTTTGTATCATGCCTCCTGGAAGGTGATAAATACACTTAGATGAATGCTATGATAAGGTCGAAAAGAGATCAATCCTGCAGGAAGAGGGGTAGGACCTACAGACTGAATCACTGTCGTAACCAGCTGGAATTTTGTCATTTCCTTCAACTCCAGATTCCCCCACCCCTTCAGAATTTCAATATCATTAGATCGTATATGTGATAATTCAGCTTACACTTTGAAATGACACCAATAACACCAGATTATTTATTCATTTTTAGTTATACTACTATAGTCCATTTGACGAAGGATATGAAAGATCTGAATTGATAACACAGCCGATAACTTCATTTACTCTACAAAATCTCCACCCTGAAACTACCTATTCAATTTGCCTTCGAGTCCACCATCGAAAGCATCCAAACAACTCCCTCTTGATTCCACAGCAAATTATAACCACTACGCCTCCTCTGACCATAAGAACGCCTATTAATTGGTATAACCGCCAGCCTTCCAATCCAATATCTGCCGGTACTTATGTCTACGATTTTCAATGCCTCTCAGCGACTACTCAAAATTGGCATCTTTCTGCCTTTATTGGTGGTATTCTTGGAGTTGTATCCGCCCTCTTTCTTGGTGTTCTCCTTTTGTTTTTACTGAAAAGGAACCACTGCCTACCTGGTGGGTATGGTGGTTTCGGAAAACAGATGACACAACGCTCCCTTCTTGGCAATTCCTCGAGTTTGCGTGGCAGTTCCACTCGGAGGGGAAAGCAGTCTAGCTCAAAGCGCGGCAGTTTTCACAGTAGTCTTTGGCCAAGTCGGTCATCAAATAGTCGAAGTGAGTTCAGCGGACATTTGCGTGAGCTTGAAGACGATGATGTTGACGAAGATGACGAAGTTATTGCCGAAGATGATGAGGAGGATACCGAAATTGATACCGGCTGTAAATCCTCAGTGAGATCTCAGGTGGGCATCTACGGGGGCTCTGGTGGCACTACAGGGAGTTCTAATCGGCATAGCTCCATGAGTAGTTCAATAGACGCTAGAGAAGATTCCTCCTCCGTTGCGATGCCCTATCTCCCTGTGAACGGAGTTCCGTCTCGAAGTGCAACCCGACGTTCAAGGGATTTAAAAAGACCCTTAATGGGATACGATAGCGTGAAAAATATCTCTGGAGTGGAAGTTAATGTCGTGGCGCCAACTCCTGATCTAATTGGAACTAAAGAAGACCTCAGAAGGACTTCCATCGCAAAAACATCCGATTCATCCGGTCAGACATCATCGACTTCCCCTATGGCAAACTGCCCTGACCCCTTACTTGAACCCACAATTATCTCACTCCGATCTCCAGAAATGAATATACCACCTCCGCTTTCGAAACAAACTCCACTAAGTGGATTAGATATTGAAGCTCATGGAGAATTATTAAGTCCAGTTCCCATACAAGAGCCCCAGTCTATAGATTTACAAATTCCAATTCTGGTTGATATGAATTCTACGAAGGAAAAATGCATTTGGATTGAGTCGCCAAAATTTGAGCCACCATCTCATATTATTGCAGATATTCCCGAAACCTACTTTGAAGATGATGACCGAAATGTACCTTCCAATCCTGACTTTGAATCCACCTTGAGTCTAACTGATGCTACTTCGGGCACTTCCAGGGAAAGCATCATTAGTAGTAGCAACTATGACTATGAATACTATGGTTCCATAGAGAAGTTGGAGGGAGGTGATCAAGATGATCCTGAGAAGTCTGGACCCTCGATTTACACTGAATTTGTGGAGACCATATAGAGCGTTTACAATTAACATTCCCGGTGTTGAAGCCCTTCTTTCATTCTTTCTTGTTCCCTAATTCTCAATACGCAGAGTTGTCTTTCGTAACACTTAATTAAACCTGTGTCCAAAATGTACGTTTTTAAAAAAAATAAATAGAGATTATACAAGGGAAATATTAGTCTGCACCATCAATTTAGATAGCAAGAAGACGGCTTTGATTAACATTAAGCCAGATATTTATGGAAAACAATAAACTATTCCTAAACAATAGGGCAATAGAATACCTTTCATCAAACCAAGGAGAAAGGGGTGGGAGATAAGGGATCTAAAGCCTGCACTGGAGGAATCAGCTTATATAACCATCGTTTGTTTGCTTCGATATTCATTTATTTATTTATATCAAATGGCAGGCGTTTTGATAGTTATCATTGGCCCTTTAGTTGACTTTAGGCTTCACAGGAGGGGAAGGAACATCAAAGTGAAAAAAAATTCGAAAGGAGGGGTGGGGGACAGAATAGTACTTCAAAGATTTGAAGGGAAACAGACACAAAGTAGAGAAAAAAGGTGGGATGAGTACTGTGGAAGTAGTCGAATAGGACATAGAGTTGGATCATGGTCGTTTGAAGTGAGAAGTCAACTGCCGGTAAATAGACTTTTT